CGGTAGAAGAAATTACAAAAGATGGTAGCAATGGGTAGCATGGGGTAGCATGGTGCAGACACGGTAGAAGAAAGTACAGAAGATGGTAGCGATGAGTAGCATGGGGTAGCATGGGTCGTATGGTATATACAAGAGAGGAGCTAGATATAATATATTTCGCCGAAAGCAAATGGAGCCTCTACTTTTTTCTTTGTCTTCTAATGTGATTTACAAACAATATCCTTTGTGTTGGATTAATCTTTTACTGTGCTTTCCCACAATGTGGAGATATGAATAAATGGAATAATTAATTAATTAATTAATTAATTTAAATATTTAATTAAATTTATTTAATTCTTAAAAAAATCCTCTTTAATTTGCGGGCCTTTAAAATTGAAGACGATTCTCCAAATGGGACCTAACCATGGTGACGTACAACGGAAGAATGCGGTGGAAGTTTTCATTAGTAATTGAACGTCTGATGAACCAGAAGGCCTCTTTCAGGATCATAAATTTCCTGGATGCCACCCGATGGTGAGGATGAAGGATTAAGCCTCGTGTCATCGTATCATCCTGCCAGAAGACAGCAGTAGAAAAATTGAATTGTGAAGTTTTGAAGACCAAGTAACCTGAGTCTGGTCCTTGTTTTCTTGGACTAACCCAGTCTGGTCTCAGAGTCTATGCAAGTTTCGAAGTTCATGCTTTGTAAAGTAGGTGGCATGATCGACGTTGCAATTGATCAGGTTGCATAAAAGTCCTAATGAGTACTTCCAGTGACGATGATCCAATTTTTATTATATATTTTATGCGAGAATTATAAGGTAGCATTGCGATTTACAATAGGGGTACAGTCCAAGTGTATATGAAGTAAGGTGTAGACGTTTCTGAACAGTAGAGTTTACATATTGTTGTGTCATAAGTGAAGTGGTTCGATTCAGATGTATTTTTTTTCAGGAATTAGAGCTTTTCATGAACTCTACTCCCGCATTATCTGAATATACGAATGGGCGCAGTCTCACGAATATTTCAAGAGCATACGATTCACGAACGACAGTGAAATTCGCTTTCTTCTTCTCGACTTCAGAGTCATGAACCTTCACGAACGCGAGTTGTCTGACATCGGTTGATTGGATCGCACGATTGGACCAAACACGAGTTTCTCGTCGAGTTAAACTTTAGGAACGACGAGATTCCAGGTATTTCTAGGATTCCAGGACAGGTTGAGTGTTTGAAGGTCTCTTTCAAACTGTCGGAATCTGACGGGTAAAGAGTGGAATTCACTTCTGGTTTCAACCATACATATCACTCGTAATCGTGTAAATGGACTTGCCTAGTCTCATTGGATTCTGAGTTCTGGTGTATTATGCGAGATGAGAACCCGCCAAGTAATGCCGTCTGTCATATCCCCAAACCCTTGCGTGTTTTCATAGCGATCAGATTCCTTTATGAGGCAGTAAGGGACCAAAAAGCCTTGATACCGTCACAATAACGAGCCATATGAACGTTGATCATACTTGACTGCCTTGATGATAATAGGTTATCTTGATTCAAAAGCATGCAGGGCATATTTTTAATTGCAGGCCTGCAAGCACTGCTTATAGTTCAATCGTCGTTTAAGAGTAGCTGTTCCTAGTAGTGAACTGTCCTGCTGCTACCATTGCAGCTTTCTATCACTGGCGGTTCATATTAAAAACGAGTCCATAGTTCAGAATCTACAGGAAATGGATGACACGCTATATGAACCGTCGTGGAGATTTCCTGGCATCCATCATATGGCTTACTATAGACCCAGGCTTCTGCCATCATATGAACCAAAGATTCCTCAATGTTTTTAGCCAATTTAGCCAATTTCATTGGATAGAAGGGATCCATCTGCAGAGTTGCCGGATTAAAGTTAGCGCACAAGAAAATTACTTTTTGAACCAAATTCTTGCTTGACACCCAGTTTCAGAGAGAACTACAGTATCAGTTATGTGGCCAAGTTTCCCCCTCTGGTACAGTTGGCTGATAATGAAAATTATTAATAATGGTCACCATAAGAAAAGGAGATAGTTTTGCAAGCCTCCCAAAGTAAAATACTATTCTTGATATGAAATATCAGGTTCTGGCAAAAAAAAAAGAAAGTCCGGCAGCTCATTCCAAGCGAGGTCGCAGCGGACCAGTGCAGCCAACCGCACCCGCGCGAGAGAGGCGGAACCCATCGTTTCCTTGTCGCAGGAAAGAGCGGACAGTGCAGTGTCTGAATTTCGACCGACTTCTCGTGCCTGTGTGCAGATTGACAGCGGGTGCTTTTAGCTTCTCATCCAAGAGTGAAATAGGTAAGAACAATGCACTTATGGTCGTACGCACGTCATGTCAGCCATCGTGTATGAGGTACATAACTGAATTTTGAAGTATGCTTCCGTAGAGTTCTGGCTACACTGTCTTGGAGCTGTCACGCTCTGAATTACCTCCTGTATCTCTAGAACCAGCGAACGGATATTTTTTATAACTTAGCACTCATATGCTCCTTTGATTTAGTAGTCAGCCTTTTAAAGTGCGCAACGATATTCTGAACCAATTACGAGTAGTTACAATCGAAAAATCTTCCTACTTTCTTTTTCAGAGAGTGTATTTATTCATTAACAGTATTTGAAAGACAAATGAATATTCTTTTCTCGTGAGAAGTTTGTATTGTCTCCAACAAGAAATACAAGAAATAAGATTATCTGACGATTCACGTGGCAGGTTAAAACAAATTGATGGGTAACTGTCGCGAACTAGTTGACGAGGGTGCACTATTTACCGGATTAATCCAATTTTGTCTGTTCGTGCATGTGAAGTGGACCATCTACTCTCACTGCAATCCCCGACCATCTCCCCTTTCATAAAATTGTTTAAATTAAAAAAAAACAGTCTAGCCATAGATGTATGGCAGTGGCGGTTCGTGATATGCGGCAGTAGTGGTTCGTCAGTAGAGACAGAGGAGGTCAGCTTCCCCGGTCTCCATTCAAGAATTACTACTGCTGCATATCACGAGCTGCCTCTGATGTATGATCACTCTGAATCTTTATCTCAAGTTTTTTTTTCAGTTGTGTCCTTATATTTTATTTAAATGCTTTCATGAGGTATCTTGCCCATCTTTGATCGTTCATGATTCGCGAAATGCGAATGGATACATGGCCATTGGAATCACAAGCTCAGCCATCATTTGATCATACTGGACTTCTTTCCTCACTCCTTGCCAGGTACTGTCGCACTGATAGGAAGGACTAGATGTGAGACCGCAATATCTCTGACCTTAATGACAGGTGGAGAAAGAAAGGTTGGGTGGGATAGGATCAATTCCTGCGTGACAGGGTCCGTGGAGATGGAGAAAAAGACCGAGAGATTTGGAAGAGGAAATTGCTTTCCGGGGCTCGTCGGTCAGTGTTGAAGGCGAGAAAGGATGGTGGGAAGGGGGAACGGGACGAGTGAAGTATGAGAGGAAGCCAGAGGCAGGGCAAGGACCTGGGAAAGGACGAGGGAAGTCGGGGCAGGCCGTGTGTCTGTGCCATGGGATGAGGGAGGGGAAGGCGGGAGGGTCTGTGGGGCTGCGCGGGGTGACCTGCTCACCAGGGGAAGAACCCACCATACTTCCCCGCGCCTTACATACATACGCACCATTTCTAATACGAGTCTGAGAACAGTAGGGGATTCACTGTTCCATATTATCAACTGAGTGCTGTTTGCTTGGTATTGCCTTTGTGGCTGTCTTTACTTCCTTGGCACATGTCCGCCTGGATCAAGGAGGCAAATTGTAGAGAAGATAAAGGTAAGAGGAGAAAGGTGAATCTAAGTTCTAATCTAATCTAAGTCTGTCTGACATCCTGCTCCGCTTCCACATCAAGTGTCGTCTTGTGACTATATATAAAACCCTTTATAAAGGTTCAGCGGAAAGATGTGCGGGTAATGAGTTTCCGAGTACCTCGGCCAAGTAGGCTTTTCCCCTGGAAGCCTACTTGGCCGAGGTACTCGGAAATTCATTTCCCTCACTTTTTTTTTGCTAGGCCATTTATAAAGTGCTTTATGTATATAGTGTGAGTCTCTGATCACGCCCATCTTGTCTTATGAATGGCAGAATGTACTTTTATTTTGTACTATTAAGCCTAGCCATACTGTGATAGAGTGAATCGCCACGATCTATTGAATCCATTGCATCATGCCGTTAGTTCCTCGCCATTCTTCGAAGCAGTCCGTCATCAACCTGTCGTCACATTTTTTATTTCATTTACGCTTCAATGGGAAAGAAAAATGGATTGAGTAAAAGCTGAGGATCTCGAGAACGTGCGCGTTAGGAAGGAGTGGGAGGAAGTGGCGACAGGGCGCCGTTCACTTGTTGATCGCGAGTTGCTTGTCATTAATGAATGATGAGACTCCCAGGGCTGACCAATGAATTGAATGACCAGCACAGGATAGAATTGGTCGGAGGAGACGAAGAATGATACGAAGAATGAGGGAGATGCAAGGAGAAAGAAGGAAAAAAAGGGAAGGAATGGGAAGAGGAAGAGGAAGAGGAAGAGGAAGAGGAAGAGGAGTGGGTCGTTGCTGCATCGTCATCGATCCCCCAACACCTCTCTCCTTCCCTGCCCAGGCCGCCGAAACATCTCCTCTCCCTCCTTCCATGCTTCCTTTCTTCTTCCATTTCCGTCCCTTTTCGAGTGTCGCGCCCCATTCAACACTTCTCTTTTTAGCAAAAGTAAAAGTTCTTTTAAAGTTTCGAAGGTGACGAACCTTACCACGAAGGTGCAACGTATGTACAGCCGATTTCGTCAGATTTATAGACCTGGACAAGATCAATGGAAGAGTTCCTTATTAAATAGCCACATCATCGCCAAAGCAAATAAAGCAAGCAACAAGTCAGGCAAATAGCGAAAAAACCCACGTCTGGAACCGTATCCTTGGCTCAGTTATACTCCGTAATTGCAAGATGTTCGTGGTCACAATATTCCCTACAATATCATCTATCTTCGATGCAATACTGGGCATCAAGACATGACATAATGCACGTATCTAATAAGCGAGGAGTCTAGCAGATGTTTGACTTAATCATATACGCACGAAGATGATGAAAATCCGCCGTAAAGCAACGCACAACTTTATTACATGGATAGTGGTATATGACTAGAGGGATGACCGCCGATAGAGGTAAAAAGGACGTGTAAAAATAAAAGTGTTTTGCGTAGTAAGAGGCATACAGGCAAATAGCACGAATACGGAAAAAATGTACTTCATCAGATACCTTGCAGTTCGCCTGAGAAAACCACTTTGAAGTTTGAAAAACCACTTCTGGCCTCATTACCGGGGAGAGCCGTTCTCTGTTCTTCATTTCTCCAAACTTCTTTCTCATTCCTGCAACTTTCATACTGGGGTCTTATGTGATCCCAAAGGAAAAGATGGGACTGTAATTGGCTATGACAGGAAGAATCGATCTCACGTAAGATGCACTTCTTTTAGAGAATCTTTCGGAACTTCAGCATTTTTCAGTCTCATGGCAGTGGTTGACTAGAATTTTCAGGGAAATGCTTAGGACATCACAAAGCATACATTGCTTCAAATCAGGGGTGGAGGGTACTCAGGGCCGGATTAAGGTTATGAGGGGCCTAAGACTAATGGGAGGGAAGATCCTAAGTATGAATTACATATTGCACAAAATTTTTTACAAATTAGGGCCTAAAGTAGGGCCTAAGGCTATAGCCTATGGGCTAATCTAGCCCTGGGGGTACTTTATTGCAGTGTTTCCCAGTGTTTCTGGTGTGCCACCAGAAAGGCTTAGGTGTGCCGTGAGATTTGAGAGTGGACAATAAGAAAAACTAAAAACCTAAAGCAAAAAAAAAACTTAAAAGCAAGAGAGAAAGTCGTCTCTCAGTGAAAAACGAGCTTAGAGTTGCACTATGACGCCTCGTATCAAACTGCTGTGTTCAGCGAAGCAAGCCCAAGTTTCCCATTGAAAGTAAGCAAATGGCTGGGTGTGCTGTGGAAAGTTCATGTGTCCTTAGGTGTACCACAAATAAAAAAAGATTGGGAACCACTGCTCTATAGTATGGTTGAAAAAACTCCTATTGAGAAGTGCAAGGAATTGTTCGTGAGTGAAAGGATCACATCCAGCTCGAAATTCTAATTAAAATTTTTGTATTGAAGCATGAGTTATTGTTATGAATAATGTGGTTTCGCAGCTGTGCCAAATGCGTTGTACTGAAGACAAGTAGTGAAGTGAACGAGGTTCCTGGATGCTACAGTCCCAGAAAATTCATTATGGATTTCCTGGAAATGTTACCTAGTCAAGAAAGGGCATTGCTAACAAAAACTAGAAGTAATTATACGTTACATGAAAGCCAAAACAACTTGGAATGTTTAGCGCAGGAACACTTTCGGGTTGTTTGGGAATCTGCTGCAAGTTAAACTAATCATGCAAGCAACAAACTGGATAATTTACCGGTACTGTACTTGGTAACTAATCCCAATTATGTTCTATTTTTCCAGTAACACATTTGGGTGGTGAAAAGGATTCTGGTACAGAAAGAAAGAAACAGTTTAGCTCCGTAAGAGATACCCTCTACTATACAGTTCTCTCAATTACTTTGTCATAGATCGTATTATTTGCTTTGCATCCTATTTCATGGAATGGGCAGAAGAGAACATGTATGATTCTTCCCTCCTCTCTCATTCCCTTTCTCTACCTACACTCTCTTTTCATGCAATTTTTATAGAAGCTTTCTTGGTTCCTTTAGTTTGGTATTTGTCTTTGTCAGTATGTCTTCATGGGGGAAAAACCAATCATTTATGACCGAAGAGCATAAAGTCCATTTCCTGGAGATCGATATTAAAGTGCTGTTATTTTGAAAAAGAGCAGCAAAAACTATAAATAAAAAAGAGGGAAACCATCAATTTCGGGAGAGTTACATCGCACATTATTTTGTCTGTTTTAAAGGAAAAAAGAATGGTATTTTATCAAAACCATTATAATATTACCATTTTGATGAAAGACATTCAATAAATGAATCATAGAGGTGAAACCCAGTTCTCTCTTTCGAAATGCAAAGGAAGAGACAACATTTCCAAAGCAGAAGTTCTGTTGCCATCTGGCATTGACACGCGGATATCTAAACATGCCAGGTAATACTGAGTAGTGGCTTAGCCAGGATTTCGGCAAAAGGGGGGGGGGGTTAGAGGGAACTTAAAATTCGCAAACTTCTCCTCCTGGGAGAAGGGTGGCGGATGCATTTCGACCAGAGTTGGTGGAGCCAGAACAAAAAGTGAAAGGGGGAGGGGGTGTGAAGCTCCCCTCCCCCCTCCCTCTCGCTACGCCACTGATACCGAGTCGCGCAGGTGAACATGAGTCAGGAGATATGCATCGTTTCCGCCCATGCAGATGGACACAAAATTCATCAAGGAGGCGAAGGAAGCATCCCAACAGTTCTACGCTCGAGCAGTGAACGCCATCCTTTCCAAAGTTCCCAAAGGATTCATGGTTAGTCCTTTCGTGGATCCTGGGAGGGGGGAAAGCTTCGCTCTGATTCGGTCTTTGCATTGTCATGTTGGCTTCCAGTTTGCATCAATGAGTGGAGGAAAGAAGGGGGGTTCAGGAACAACGGAGACGAGAAGTAACTTCCTTCGTCAGTTCAGAGATGCGGAGAGTCGAGAACTACGCAAACTCACCGCCAATCAGTTCATGGAAGTCTGGAGTCATTACGACAAAGATGGTGAGGTGGTGAAAACCAATTTTCTCGTCTTTCTTTTATCATCTCTAGTTTCCGGTCTGCTATTTATTATCGGGAAGGTTTAATTTTTGCCCACGCTATGTGATACTTGAACATAATATATCGGAGGTGTGGGGAGCAGTGAGTCCGAAGTTCCCTTTTGCCTTCAATGTAAAGCAGGGGTGCACAACATGCGGCCCGCGAGGCCCTTGCTTGCGGCCCACCGTGACTGGTGACGTTTTGAGTGCTACTGTGGCTCCCGCCCTGTTGGCTACAGCTATAGTCAGGCAGACTGCGACCCGCGGTAGGTGAATAAAAATCGGAAATGGTCCTCACAGTATTCTGAGTAGTGCACTCCTGGTGTAGAGGATGTCTGACATAAGGTTGGATTTTTTTTACACTCCTATAATTATTATTTTGCGATATTGTGAAGGTTCGGAGTTAATTCGTTCCTCTATTGTATTATGATCAAAATTGTCAACTCGTTTGATTAAACAGATTTCGTACTGACTTCTCTTGCTGAACGAAAAACAATGTCTCGTAATCCTGAAACGTTCCGAGGATCGACATCATCATCATCATCTACATCGTCTGAGTGCTGAGAGAGAGACTTCCACTTTCTTCGTCAATTCAAGCAAAACTGAAAAAACCGCGAAGTTCTTCGTTGATCATGCCGCTGTTATCCTAGAGGGGGATTGACAGACATCGATAAGATCTGAGTATTTCGTTAAAATCATCGGAAATATGAACAGGACAGAAGAGAAAAGAGGAGGTGGGCGTATACGCTTACCTGTCATCATTCGTGCACATCTTCACGCACTTACACCTTTTCTGTTCCATCACTTTTCGTTTGCATCTGGTCTCGTGGCTGACGGATGTAGAACCCTCACTTCGTTCCGTTCGTTCCTTCTGAGAGGAGCCTCTCTACTGCCTGCTACGTTGCCCTCGACCTCAAGATATGCTTCTCTCGAGCCGGAAAATGTGCTTCATTGCTAGTTTTTGAACCTCAGAGCTCAGAGCTAAGAGCCGGACTAAGTAGAAATAAAGGCAGAGACACATGCATCTCTCAAAAGGAGTATTTATCTTGTTTTCCTTCTTTTGACCCTCCTGTTCAAAGCATTGTAAGGGGAAACAGCTCAATCGTTTAATTATTCAAACTTTTTCTTACTAAGCGATCCGATTTTCGTTTCGCAAAATTCGCAAAATAAAGTATTTATTTGAGGTATTTAGATTATTTTTCTCACTAATGAAGGAAAGCGCCCCAAAGTGTCATATCTAAGTCCCACGTTTTGCAGCTAAAGCACCGTTTGACATTTATCCAGATTCCAGAAAGAACAAAGGATAGTGCTTATCAAAAACGATTGTCGCAATGTTGAATTCATGAGAGAGCGATTTCCTGTCATCATGGGTGGATTCCTTATGAATTAACCAATAACTGGCGCTGGAGTGTTACAATCGGAGAAGTTTAGAAGTTGATTGTTGCATACTGAAGGCTCGGACATGCGTCATCTCAAGCGCGTTTCAATTTCATTTCATCATTAAGTGTGATTCAATAGTAACCTTGTTCAATCTGGCCATCTGTGCTGTGTGAACCAAAGGATGGGTATGAGCTGGACCCTAAGGTCACGTCACTGCCCCCCCCCCCCCCAACTTTTTCATCTTTGGACCCTTTAAAATTACTTCTCTTTATTTATGCGACTAATTTATGAACATGATAACGTGATTTTTTCCATGAATTTGGGATGGGGGCTAGAAGGCAATGCAGGGAACGGGTAGGTATTAAACCCCCGCTTAGTCACCGAAAATTTAGAAAGGCAAGCATCAATACCTTTATTTTTAGACGGATGAATACAAAGTGAACTGATGAAAATATGACACTTTCCATTTTTGTAGCAGCGAAGGGTTCTGAAAGCATCTCTGAAAAGGAATTTAACTCCTCTGTTCAACTCACAGTAGCTATGTGGTTTATTGCCTTCATAAAAACATGCAACGCTTATACAGCTCAAAGGTTTTAGTGGATAATGAAGAAATTCAATAAAAGCAAATTAATCATTTCACAAAAAGGAAAGATGGATTCCTGGAATCTTCCATCTATGACCGGCTGATCGTAGAGAGCCGTGCAGTACTGATTTAGAAAACATCGATGCGTGCGTACAGTAAGTCCTGTCTACAAGAGATAGAGTAAATGCCAAAGTGCCTGCTAGAGCAATTTCGTTTCCAGTGGTTCCATGTGGAGCATGGAGAGAGGGTCGTACCAAGCAGGCTTGTCGCTAGTGGAAAATCGATTCCTCGCCGGAGAACCAGGGGAGCCCATGCAGCCACTATATGCATATATGCACTCGCATATGCTGACACATTCGTGCCCTCCCGTATGAATTGTCTTCGTTGTTATTTAGTAACCATATTGACATGCTAAAGAATTCCAATCAGAAAAAGGAAAAAGGTTCCAGTAGATGTGGAGAACTCCAACAGGAAGCTTAAGAAGAGCCTGTTTATGTGCTGTCCCACCCCGTATGCATTGGAAGTTCATGGAATCATGATGCATCATGGAGAACTGTAATTCTGATTGAGGTGTACGAATATTGGCTCGGACGGATTCGCAACGCTTTTAATGGCGCATTTCGTGGAGCCTTATGATAACTGTAACCTCTTACGCCGTTGTACCTCTCAACGTCGCAATTACAGGAAATCGAATGTACGGCGAATGACCCTACTGTACGCACTTCTTTTTCGAGGATCTATAGCCCACTTTTATCTGACTATCCCAGTAGGAGCAGGTTTTTTATGATGCCATCAATGGGAAGTCCCTCAGCCGACATTTGGGGATCACCCCCGTTCGCGGAGGAAGAAATGGCTTCCAGGGGGCAGTTTCAATGGAGTCATTTCCACTTAATGACATGCGCACAAGAGGATGGATCAGTAAAAACCCGCGGTCAAACTCTTTTTTTAATGACTTGGTGAAGACTTCTTCTCCCTTGATGGCTCCCAGCCTTTCATGGTCGTAAAAGGGAACACTGTTACCATGCTCTTAGGAAAATGAAACAATAGGGGAATCCATTGGCTCGAATCTACAGCAAATATCTAATGAAATATGTATATGAATATCGAGGAACACGTCATTCCCTCAGATGAATCTTTCAGTAGAATGCACCATTTGCTTTCTTGTGCCACGCGCTTTCAAAACGTGGCTCGTCTTGTATAAAAAATTCAATGGAAATAGTTCACTACCCGTGTAGTTTGCTGAGGAAACGAGTCAACATGAAAACTGTAGGCGAAAACATTGAGCTGAGAGGAACTTCTATTGATTCAGAGGCCGTGACGCAGGCAAACATTCTGCAATGGCTTCCTGCTTGCATGCATGCAACCGCAGTTGCCCTCCCCCCCTACTCTTTCTTCCCCCCCCCCCCTCTCTCTCTCTCTCCCTCTCTCTCTCTGAGACCATGCAATCGTGAAGGAAAAGGAAGCTGATGGCATGCAGAGGACCGCCTAAGGTGCAAGAAACCCCAGGGAAGCACGAAGGCTGAGAGATTTCTCTTAATGACGGTCCTAATGGGGGTCGATATGGAAGGTCCACGACTTCTTAATGCATAGCTCTCATACCTGTGTGAAAAGCTGCAGAAGCTACAGAGCATCCGAGCTAGCTTCCTCATTCTTATTCTGGATTAGAGCTTTCAGGGACAAAAATATATATATATCTTGTCTCATCTTGTCCATTCCCAGGGAACGGGTACATAGAGGACAAGGAACTGGATGCTTTCTTGAGGGAGTTTGTGTCGAGTGTGAACAGCACCGATGTCGCCGGAGAGGTAAAGCTTTCCCACGCCCTTCCCCGGCTCAGTATGTGCTGGTGGTTTCAACTTTCAAGAATGGAGAAAGAAAAACAGATTCCACTCCTATAGGTGGTGTCAGACGCTATGCTTGCCGAACTAAAGGAATGCTTCATGGAAGCCTATGATGACAACCAGGATGGAAAGATCGAAATTCGAGAGGTTTCCCCCTTTTCACTCCAATCCATTGAAATCTGTTTTGTGCTATCAAAGATTTCCAAGAGATTCTTGCATTCATTCTTTCCCTGTCTTCTTTCCTGTGGTGCAGTTGGCTCAGTTACTCCCAATGGAAGAGAACTTCTTGCTTCTCTTTCGATTCGATAATCCTCTCGACTCCAGTGTGGAATTCATGAAGGTGAGATAATTTGGGAATGTCTTCAATGTCTGCATCAATAAGTATGAGAACTGTTCAACTGAAACTTAGACGGAAATTTTCCAGTCGTAATAAAAAAAAAACAGGACAAGCCGGCTTTGCAAAGAATCAGAAGCCTATGCATCTCAGTTACTCTACTGTCAAATTGAGCAAGTTGCTGTGCAAAGTAGCATTGCTGAAGAACATTCTGTAGCATTTTCCAAGAACTCAGTCAGCGTGCAATATGGATGAACAGCAAGAACAAAGATCTCCTTCGAAATTTTGTGTTAAACATAAACAGTCTTGCATGGCAACTGTCCAAACATGACCGCAGAGTATCTGAGATATTTTCATTGTAGGTTTCATTTGAGCAAGAGGAGTACTTTTATCACAGTGCTTGTACATGTCCAAATGGCAGCAAAACATTCCTTGGACACCATCTGGAACCATAAAACTCAAAAGCTTGCAATTGATTTTATGAGCGCTTCCCCCTACTTTTCTCTTCTTCCTTCATAAAAAGCCACATTTGCTTCTGCCAAATTAGTAGGAAATAACTTTTTGATCATTTGTATTCCAAATTTGTATTCTTATTCGTGTTTCGTTTTCGTGTTTATTGACGAAATCCAATGTCAATCCTGTTGTGTGCCATGTGCACTCTAGGTTCGTAATGCATTGTCAGGGTTAATAGAAAGCTGAGAAGATTGTGGGATTCTCTCAGACGCGCGTCGCTGGATGTCTTTATAGTTCCATGCAGGCCTATCATCTTCCTAAGGTCCGTTAGCTTGGATGTCATTCACATCCGCTTTCTCGGCATCATTTCTTTGAAACTACTGCTTTACAATATTAGTAGTTTCTACAGTAGTTTCAAATTTCTATTGTTTTCCCCCGCGCTCAAAACGTTCCTGAATTTATTTGAAAGTCTTCATTCGAGTAACACTAAACTAGTATTGACGTATGAGAATAGACCGGATGAATTGATGACGCTGCACTACACGCACTAGTCGCATTAGTCCTCTGTTTAATGTACGATATAGCCTTAAATGAAAGCAGTAAAAATCATAGTGCGGAACGACCCTATCAAAGACCATTTCGAAGTTCCCATCTCATGGCTGACGCTCACGCAAAGACAGAAACTCCAAAAGCCTTCCCTTTGCCGAAGTATCAAGTCCACAAAGCCTCATTCATTTCAATTCAGTACTTTCGCAGATGTGAAGGTATTTTTTTTTTTTCGGACCTTCTCTCGTTCTGCTGACGGAAAGCATTCACAACATGCCAAACCAAAGTCTACTGAACCGATTTCGACACAAGAAAAACCGTTGAACTTGCCTTCATGCCTGGGTTTTCCTTTTGGGGTCTCAAATACTAATCTAGTTAAAAAGAATCAAGGCTGAAATAGTACAGATCGCAAGTATTAAGGGAGAACTTACAATGAAATTAACAAATTTTTCCCCCATCGCAGAGACTATCTCTCGATTTCTGCAAGCAAGGTACTGATGAATTAATCTCGGAGGCGTACTTCACGGGATCTCACCTCCTCAGCTCCTAGTTGTAACATTGCGAACAAGTACTTAGTCGAACATTGAAGCATTCTGAACAGTCAGGTAGATATGGACTCCTCCATGAAACGATTGGAGTCGGTTGATGAATGGAGGACTAAATTCACTTTTGGTTAACTTCTTCGCGGAGGTTTTAGCTTTGAGAGATACTCATTCTGTGGTGTCAATTGTTGAATCAAAGATTATGCTGAAGTTAGCAAACTCCACCTTTGCACTTCCCACTAGCAATCTCGTAACTTTGCTTTTCTGTGGCCCATTACTCCATTGATTTTCCCATTAATGGTGTTTGAGTTTAAGGGTGGATTTTTTAACAGAGAACTATCCGATAATGCAGCTTTATTTCTGAGTAAATGCATTATAAATCCGGTAAATAAAGCAGCATTATCGGATAGTACTCTGTTCAAAAATCCACCCTAACTCTTCAGTTTCGGTTGCGTTTACGAATAAGAATTGGTATCACCATTTGGATGTGTCCAGGATGTGGTCGACCACTTTCCCTTGGAGTGCTGTCATCGTGTGATTGTCCTCGTCAACGCGTATTGTTACTATGACAAGGGCTCAAAAAATATTATGGAGGGATGTCGAATTAATCTGCCATTCCTGTTGCTTTATTGGACCCACTAAGCTGAAGGGGTGCTCTAAGTGGAGCACATGGAGCACACGAAACACCTCGGTGAACATCTACTTCGTGCACGGCAGCTAGACATAATAATCCCTACATCTCGAACCTTCCTGACCTTGAGACGCAGCTGTGCTCCCCCGGGAACAGACCAGGAAAAAGAAAGCAGGAAGATAGAAAAGTGGAAGTAGATGAGAGATGCCTCGTAGGCCAGTGGAAACAAACTGATTATGGAGAGATCAGGTGGTGCACGAAAAGTTTGCGCATTTATATTTTTTATGTAAGCATTCGTTTTGTATGACTCGCAGAATCATGCATAATTCTGTCTGTCGATAGGGTGGTTCATGGAGATTTGGTTAATCATGAATTACACGTTCAATGCAATTAGGCTCCCTTCTGAGGATCTCTTGAAGTCGTACACTGAAATTCGTCGCGACTCGACGTCAAAGGTCTTCCGTGATATGATTGCACAACTCTACCACCATCGATCGAAGCTCCATACAAGTTGCAAGACGTCTTGGAAAGAGCTTCTCTTTCAAATAGCCCCATAAAAAATAATCACACGGATTATCACAACGTAAAGAAATCACCCGATCGTAAAACTGAGCGTCGAGGCAGCTGCATAGCTCCTAGATCGCGGTGTGGTGCGCATTATCGAGCCATGGCATCTTGAGGTTAATCTTTTTAAATGACACTGAATCCAGCTCATTACGTTGAAATGTTGCAAAATGACTTCTTTTCACGCCTCCTTGCAACTGGACTGCCACCTGACACTCGGTGGTTTATGCAAGGTGGCAGCACCACGCACACAGGTCGAATAGCACAGGAGTTCCTCCATGGGATGTTTGGTGATTGAGTGATTTATTTACGCTATTTGGAATTATACCTTTGTGGTGTGATTAGGCCGCCACACAGCCCCTATCTGAATCCGTGTTATTGTTTTTTGTGAGGCTATTTGAAAGAGAAGCCCTTTCCAAGACGTCTCGTAACCTGTATGGAGCTTCGATCGATGGTGACTGAGTTGTGGAGTCAGGTCACGGAAGTTCTTTGACGTCGACTCGTGACGAATTTCAGTGTGCGACTATAAAAGATCCTCAGAAGGGAGACTAATTGCATTGAACATGTAATTCATGATTAAAAAATCTTCATGAACCACCCCATCAACAGATAAGAATGATAAATGACTCCACGAATAAATGTCGTATGTGTGATACATAAATGGGTCACCTTTTCGCGCGCCATCCTGTATATCTTGATTCCGAGGAACAATTAGTAATGGCTTCGGAGTAAGCTCTTGTGACTGCGATGAGTACGACAGAACCGGCTTCTCTGACGACTTTCGTGCCCCCAACCCACGTTTACTTCATTGCCACTGCCCTATTTTGAGGACTCCTAATTTTGATCCTTTCAATTCCTACTGGCTTAATGTTTTGGAGATTGAAATGGATTAGATATGTTTAGCGCCCTCTGTTCCATGGGATGAACACAACATTTCATATTTGTGCCAAACATCTCGCAGCAAAAATTTTTCAGGTCCAATCACCACGAAATTCGACCTATTTAGTATCGCGACATTTAACGAGTTAAATTGAAGAGTTGCTGCAGCACAACGATTTTCCTGCATTTAGCTCTGCACCGAATCCACACTCAAAGAATTGGTTGCCAGGAGACTAGAGAAATTGACGGGATGCTGAAGCGGGAAAAATACATCAAATTGAACTGTGAAAGTATCGAGATCGATAACTCAAAGAAATTGTCACTAGATTCTCGGTGCTCCAAAAAAATTTTTTTTTCTTAAATAATTTTTCAGGATTACCCTCGTAATACATTCATGATTTCATATTGATTTGTCTCTACTTGTCTGCCGTGTGACAGATCTGGAGAGACTACGATCGAGACAACAGTGGGTTCATCGAAGCAGACGAACTGAAAGTTAGTCTTTTTCGCTTGAAATTTTCATTACTTCATGGCCTTGCACCTCGTCTGCATGTATTGTTCTTTGCAGAATTTCCTCCGAGACTTGCTCAAGGAGGCGAAGAAGATGAACGAAGTGACGGAAGACAAGCTCATTGAATATACCGACACCATCGTAAGTAGAAACCTGTGCCTGATGTACAAACTAAGGTGAAAAGTAGAAGCACAACCTTGACTCCACTTTGTTTTGCTTTGCAGCTCCAGGTGTTTGACGCCAACAAAGATGGAAAATTGCAATTGAGCGAAATGGCCAAGTGAGTTCTCGTGAATATTTTAACCCCTTAACTGGGAACTTTTGAACGCAAATGTGCGGTGATTCCATTGAGAGAAGGCAGGTGCCAGACCGCACATATGCGGCGAGTCCATTTAAGGGGTTAAGGACTATTTGAAAATAGAAAATATTATATTTTGATAGATGTGCCTCATTGAGAAGTTCTCTAGCTGGCTGAGTGCTTTAGACAATTAGATAAGAGCCAATAATGAACCACCAGAATGAAAAACCAGCAGAGATATTAATAATCAATGAGCATCTCCCAAAATATTTGTGACTTTATTAGAATCACCGACTGTCGTAGTTATAATATGAGTATAGAGCTTGAACAAAAGCCATATTTTTTTGAAGGTGCCAATGTCCTTTCAAACTCCACCGAACCTTCCTCCTCCCGAAACGATTCTTATCTACTGGTGACATTACATAACTCTGACGCACAATAGCCCAGCACAGAAATAATCCTAACAGCATGTGGAGGCGAGAAGCGAGTGAGTTAGAAATAGGAAGCAGTGAGGACTTTCATTACTTCTCGTTGACATGGTTAAGTGGCAAGGCAATTTCCATGTTGATATCTAACAGATTGTAAATGACTTGAATATGCGTCACGCCCATATTCTCCTCGTAGAAGTGAAGCATTGATTTATGGGGATGTGTAGAGAGCACGTGCCGTACAGCATATCCTACAGGCTGGTCTCAATTTGGTTTCATGTTTCTATGGACCTGTCAGTGGCGCAAGACATGAATGGGTATTAATCTAATGACATCGGGTGGCTTGCATTTCCGAGATTACAGATGTATGCTGTTGCCCTTTTGCCTGATGCATGCCACACGAATCTCTTATCAGGTAGTTCCCAGCCCTGAATTGATTATTACACGTAAGAAGATGAACCTACCAAAGTTCCTTCACCAAAAAGCGCCTCATTCTGCTACTGTGAAAGTCAGCAGCCAGGGAATGACTAACAGGAAGAAAAGTGAGAATTAGACCTTGAAATAACTCAAATCTTCGTTAATACGAGAGAACTTTTATGTTCTGGAAAGGACTGTTCTTACTAGCGCAGTATCCCCATCGATGAATGTACTTGAATTCCAAGAAGATAGCGAGGAATTTCTAAAGCTGTCCCTACCCATTCTGAGAGTTTGTGAACTTGTCCCCCGGAATACCGAAACTGCACCACTGAGCTTGGGACCTTCAAAACATGACTCAATTTTCCTAGTTCATTTAGATTCCCCATTGATCGCTTCAACTGTATGTTAGAATGAGGGGTCTGGATTGCATCTCATCCCCTCTCTCTAACTCCATGCACGGCATCGCTAATGAGAAAATGAGACTAATTTAGATGAGATCCAGACTTTCTGTTATTATCTGATCCTCTCTCATTCTCTGCAGCTCGATGAAGATGAAGCCAACTGGTCTCCTTGTTCTTTCAGGTTGCTCCCAGTGAAGGAGAACTTCTTATGCAGGCAGATATTCAAGGTAACACCGGTAGCGTATCTCATCCCGAGTCTAAGCATCGATATGAACAGGCCAGCCGAGTGTATAAGAACCGTTTCAGTACCTCCGTGTCCTGTGCACTGACATTCGAATCATCAATTGACCCCATCGGAATATAAAAAGAAAAAAAAAATTGTGTCTCACACTGCGAAATAGAATGTTCCCTTGACGGTGGAACTGTGTTGAGAAAGATCGAACCAAATCCCACATCTAAACTGAGTGAAGCTTAGCCTTTCTTCCACTAACTGCAACCTGAATCCTTGAGGTGGCAGAAACCTAACAGGTACATCGTATGCTACGCATCAGATGGCTAATTTTAAAAAAAGAAACCGTCAAGTAGCGCATCGTAGAGCTATTGTGTTCTCCACATGAGTCAGACATTTTTGCTCTTGCTCGGACATTCACGCATGGGAAGTGGTGACTGAGTCAAGAGAAATAGTGTGTAACTTAAGTGAAGAACATTGAAAAATAATATACATGCGTAGAGCCTCCCTCCTGGAAGAGGCATGATTGAAACTGAGGGGCTTTAGATTGAATGTCTTGTGCCGTCTTATCACGTTAGCAGCACAGCACAGCACAAGTTCCAGTCATGGGTCATTAGGTTTAGAGTGTTCGTGCATCGGCATGGATATGACCAAGGAACTCCGTGTCTCTGAGAGAGTGCCTCATTCACTACAGGGTGTCCCAGAAACCCCGCCCCAAGTTTTTTTCATCATTGTCTTTTTTCTGATGGAAATGAGTTTTGTATCATTCGAAAGCCTAGACCTTTCTTAACAACTGCTGTTAAACCTGACGGTTTGTGATTACTGGTTGTGGGGTTTTTTGAAAGAGAAGGTGTATGATACAAAACCCCTAACATCCCAGACCTCATCAGCGCCATTTCCACCAAACTGAATGCCATAAGCATGGACATGTGCCAGAAAGCAGTGAATGACTTTCCCCAGTGATGCCGTATGTGTCATGATCAGAATGGGAACCAATTTCAGTGGCAAATAGATTAAATCCCTGTTTTTAATCCCTGCATCCCAGAAACCTCGCCCCCAGTTTGGACTGAGGCTAAGATTAAGTGAATGGCGCTGATGAGGTCAAGGATGTTAGGGGTTTTTCAGCATACACCTTCTCTTTCAAAAAACCCCACAACCAGTAATCACAAACCATCAGGCTTAACAGCAGTTATCAAGAAAGGTCTAGGCTTTCGAATGATACAAAACTCATTTCCATCAGGAAAAAAAAATAAAGACAATGATGCAAAAAAAAAAACTTGGGGCGGGGTTTCTGGGACACCCTGTATATAGTCTGTGTGCCCTCAGGGTATGGCAAGAGAGCCCCCTTTATTCTCTGCGTTAACAGAAGCCTTTTTTTTATTTGCACCGTACATGGATTAATACGTTCCTGACATATTTAAAATTTTATGCAAGCCCGTTTTGAAAATGTAAGTTATAAACGATTATTAAAAAAATCTGAAATCGAAAATGGACAGATGATTCCAGTCTCTGAGGAACGACTTGCCTCCGTCTGCTTCCTCCTCCGATGTAATGGATGAGAAAATCTGAAGAAACTTAAAGCGAATGTGGTACCTATTGACTCATCTGTTATTACTTGAAAAAGAGGTTTATCAAAGCCAGCCCATGATGAATTTTAAATGAGTAGATGTTCAATGGGGCTTGGATGATATGCAACCACAGTATGAAGACCCTAGTTTCATTTGACAGCCAGGTATGAGCAGAGATTTCTTGATTAAAAGTCAGGAGTCTTTATTGCCATACCCTGTTGAGTATAGCGTATGGACTGTGTTAGTTCGGCACGTTGTATGTTGTGTAAAATGTTTTTCATTTCCGATTACTCTTATCATCGCATCATCGTCTTCCTCTCGTTTTTTCTGCTCTGTGCGGCAGACCAACGCGAGGATGACACCCAAAGCTGAAAATAAAGTGCAACCAGAAAGAACACAATCCAGGGAACGTGATCTAACTCTGTGTTTCTTTCTCTTTTCCCCGGCAGGGGGCTTCCAAATTGACCAAGGGAGACATCGAGAAAGTTTTCTCCCTCTACGATCGAGTGAGTAGAAGTTCTTTCCATTTGTGGCAATCCGTGAAATTTTTAGATGTTCTTATCGATTTCGCTCGATATCTCCTCCAGGATAACAGCGGCATGATTGAGAACGAAGAACTCCGTGGTTTTCTCAAAGATTTGCTTGAATTGGCCAAGAAGGTAGGAGGAATCTCTCACCTCTCTTCCAGCACTCAGACGATGCAGATTGATGATGACGATGATGATCCGTGGAACGTTTCAGGATTACGATGCGAGTGACCTGGAAGCGTTTCAGGAGACCATCATGAGGGGCTGTGACTTCAATCGAGACGGCCGAATCAATCGGAAGGAGTTGACCATGATACTGTTGGCTTTGGCCAAGGCCAACGAGGAACCGGAACCGGAGACGGAAGGATCCGGGGCCACTGGTGGAAAAAAGGAGAAGTGATTCCCGCATCTCAACGGAAAATCTTACCATTTCCCCAGTGGGCACTTCACACTTATGATGTTGGTTTTTGCTGGCATTTACCTTTTGAGAGTCTTTTCAACCGGTGCGTTCGTGCACCGGTTGCACACAAACACCACGCGCATTTTGGGAACTCAAATGAAAACAATTTTTCTTGGACAGAATCTCACGCGTTGAGACGAGGGAAAACCCCGGAGACATGAAATTATGCTTTTTGTTGGTTTGAACACGGTCCTGAAACCTACCGCCTTTGTCTTCTTCAATTCATTCCATGATGTGTGGCAAGCATATTGAAGACTTAAGGGGAAGAACAAGTGAATCATATTTCCCTTTCTTGTTGGATACATGCGTATACGAGTAGGACAGTAAATCACATTCTTGTACAATGCATATAGGTTTGGCTCCTAAATAAGAGGGACGACTAAACTGCCCTTGCATTTTTTTTACTTATATCAAATGATGCGTCTCCGTGTATCGTTTCGTTCTTTCTCCGACGTCTCCTTAGCCTTCTTATCTGGTTACCCCCCCTTCTCCCCTTATACACAGAGGATAAATCGTACCTACGCATGCTACCTCGCTGACCCTGGCTCGCATTTCCTTTCATTACGCCTCCAGATCCAGACATATATTGGATCTGCAATTCCATCTGATATAAAGCTATGTACGCTCGTTTTCTCTTCCTGTTCCTGTTCTGAACTGTTATATGCATTGAGGTTATAGAGGCACTATGAAAACTACGATTCGTCATTTTACGTGCATGTACTTTCGAAAGAATTCATGGAGAAGTCCATGGAAGTACAAGCCTCCTTTCAATTTCTGTCTCATTTCTATGGTGCCCTGGCGCTGATGACCTTGTTTCCTCAACGTTGTTGTTGTTGAATTTCTTGACTGAAGGGCTGCTTGTATATATAAATTGCGAATTACGTTTGAATCCAGAAGCATATCATTTTTCTTTCGTTTGTGGATTTTGAGGAGGCCTGGGCCAGACGGAGCCTCTGGTTTTCTGGACAGGTGACTTTCTTCAACCTCCCGCTGGTCACTTGAGGTCCAAATCTAAAAGGCAAGAGAAAAGTGAGGATGAGAAAAAAGGCATATGAAGTCCCGAGAGACCCCTTGTTCACCCGCTTCAGTGGATTTTCTTCAGTTTGTAGAGCTGAAGATCCCAAGAAGCACAAGCCAACTTCCAACTTTCGTGTGGTTCGGTGGAACGTATTTACAGGGTATGACCAAAAAAAGACCAATGACTTTAAACCTTAATATCTCCGCTCATAATGAGCCATTTCCGCGAAACTTTCCCTATGGATGGATGAGTATGTTTTCAAGTGATTCTCGAAATTTCATCCGAATTTGTTGAACTGAAGAAATATCAGCACTTATTGAAAAGGAGTTAGACATTGAGAATGGAATAATAGAGCTCTAACATCCAAGCCTCAGGAAAATTACATATGACATGGCGACAATCGAAAGTAATTGCCATTTCAAAGCCTGGCAAGCCTTCACACGACCCAAAAAGCATCAGACCTATCTCATTGCTATGCACAGCTTACAAGCTTCTCGAACGGCTGCTATTAGCCAGATTGTGCCCTATAGTCGAAGCACACATCCCACCTGAACAAGCTGGCTTCCGACCTACCCGTAGCACCTGCGACCAGGTACTCGCGCTGACCACCTTTATTGAGGCTGGCTTCCAGCGCAAACTCACAACTGGAGTCGCTTTCATCGACCTCTCCGCCGCTTACGACACTGTTTTCCGCGAGGGTCTGATCTTGAAAGTGTCTAACATTGTCAGGTGCAAACAGACACTAGGTCTACTATCCTCCATGTTAACCAACCGAAGGTTTCGTGTCCATCTGGGGAATACGATAAGCAGGACTCGACTATTAAACAACGGCCTACCCCAAGGCTCAGTCCTTGCCCCAACCCTTTTCAATATCTATATTAGTGACATCCCTACCACTGAATCACGCAAGTTTGGGTACGCTGATGACCTCGCACTTGCAGTTCAATCCGTACACCCCACCAAGATCGAAGACGCACTCACAAAGGACTTACAGGAGCTCGAACGATTCTTTAAATACTGGCGCCTCCTCCCTAACCCCAGTAAACCAGTCGTAAGTGGCTTCCACTTGAACAACAAACGTGCAAACATGCCCTTAACCATTGCTTTCTGTGGAGAAAAAGTAAGGTACGATCCATCCCCAAAATATTTGGGTGTCACCTTAGACCGCAGCCTAACGTTCCACGAGCATCTCAAGAACACATCTGCAAAGACCAAGTCTCGCGTGAACCTGGTCCATGAACTGACTGGCACAACTTGGGGAGCTGATGCTCCCACTCTGCGGACAGCAACATTGGCTCTTGTTTATTCCACTGCTGAATACTGTGCCCCAATATGGAGCCGAAGTGCGCACGTGAAACTCGTCGATACGCAGCTAAACGCTGCTGAGGATAATTGAGGAGTTCTCTGGAAAAAGGGCGTAAGTGCCCATACGCCCTTTTTCCATCTGTGTTCATGCGCTGCTTTAGATGGCTTGTCATAGAATAAGGTGGTCAGCAGTTAGTTAAGTTTCGTATTCAGCAAGGGAGAAGCAGATTTTCCTATGCTTTCACTTAATGGCAGACCCACTGCCTGACAATTTCAATATGGCTGCCTCCATGAATATTCAATTAGCACCTGCATCACTGAAAAATTTTTCTGGAATAATTCCATTCTTTCGAACTGAAATTGAAAATGGGGAAGAAACCAGATAGGGGGAAAGGGGAAAAAAGAGGCAGAGTCATCCAAACCCCTGGAAGGATGCGAGAAGTTGGCGATATCCATGAAACAATTGGAGATTCAGATGATCAATAAAGTAATAATGGATCATTGATGAGTAATTGGTGAATCAAATTCGTCCTGAATATTCACATTTTTATTGTCATTCTTTGAGGAAGAGTTGATTTGAAATTTGTAGATATACTGGTAAATTATTATTTTTAATTAGAAAAAATTTAGTGAAAGACTGGTTGGGAAAAGTTTCAGCAGCGCAGATATGGAAAAAGGGCGTATGTGCATGAACACCTTCTGCCTGCATCCCAGCAATGACAGGTAAATAAATTCGTTAAAACCCCAAGTTCAATTGGAAAGAGGTCTAAGATACCATTTGACTGAAAACTGAGTTTGGACCAGCTGCAGATTAGCTATGGGAAGTTTTTGCCGTTTATCTCGAATTGCATCATTGCACATACGCCCTTTTTCCAGAGAATTCCTCAATTATGGTCACCCTCAAATCCACTCCTCTGCCATGGTTCCCAGTGTTGGCCAACATAGCACCAGCCCACCTCCGGCGAGATGCGGCTTATGTCAAAGAGTACCATAAAGCTCTCAACACAAACCTACCAATCAACCAAGACCCTAGCAAATCCACTGGCCAACCGTTTGAAATCCAGGAAACCTTTCTGGACTGAGGTAAAGAGACTCCACGAGGCAAACACTTCAACTGAAGAACGTTGGCGAAGTGATTCAGGCTATTCAGGCTAACACAAACCTACCACACAGGTACCTCATCACCGACCCAACAACAAAACCACCTGGCTTCTTGCTACCAAGAAAACCATGGTCCACCATCAACCGCATCAGAACTCTCCATGGACGCTGCGGCCACCTGTTCCATAAGTGGAGATTAAAAGAAAATCCCAAATGTGATTGTGGTGCACAGAGCCAAACTATCCAACATATTGTGAACGACTGCCCAATCAGAGCATTCAAACGTGACATAAACTGCATCCATTCAGCAGCCTCAGAAGCAATCGAATGGTTAGCTAACCTAGACATTGAACTTTAATTGTTGCTATCCAAAACGCTATACGAAAGAAGACTACCAACAAGGGCTCTATTAGTTCATTCTCAATGTCAAACTCCTTTTCAGTAAATGCTGATAGAATTTCTTCAGCTCAACGAATTCGGATAGAATTTGAGAATCACTTGAAAACATAGTCATACACCCATTGTGAAAGTTTCGCGGAAATGGCTCCATTTTGAGCGGAGACATTAAGTTAAAAGTCATTGGTATTTCTTTGCCGTACCCTGTACATTACTTTCAAAAGAGTGACAATAATCACACAACAGTGGAGTAGCTGCAAAAGGAACGCCCTATTATCTATATTAAAGCCCGACTCTAGGCCGAAAAAGACTTCGTTTTATTCCAGCCTAGAATTAAAATGCTGTTCCCTATTGAAAAAGACCGAGAAATTACGATGAAAGAGAAGAGATAGATACAAGAACATGCGGAGTAATTCAGATGGAGGAAAGTCATTTACAGAAGTGCTAAGTTCTTATCGAGATGGCTATCCATAAAGATATGAAATGGGTTCTCAGCACAAAGATCACCATATTTTTGAGAGGGAAAAGTTAGACATGTAATTTCCCAAACAGTCAAAAATTCTTTTTTTCAAGGACCAGTCAGCATGCCCATTCGACTAAAGTTGCTATCAAACAACAGCTTCCTTTTGAAATAAATAAAAAATCGAGATGGCTTGAACAGGCCTGTTTGATTGTGATTTTATTCCTTTTTCTATACAATATGCTGGGGATGTTCGATCTAACCATTGGTAAACTAGAAATTTTTTTAGTCCCTCCTTTTATCATTAATGCTGAAAGGAATATCGATACGTGCAATTTCAAGATGATGATCTAGATCTAGATGATGTGCAGATTTAAATGGAGATGTGGTCGTTTCTTCCAACTGCTTGCAATCCGAATTAATGTGAAGAAGTTCATCCACGATCTGTTGATTACTAACGGTCATCGGGTCGTCAATGTATCTGAACGTAAAGCTCTGAACTTCTCTCTCTCTGAACGTGATGCTCTTCTCATTTCATTTCACTTCTGGAATATCGGGTTACATAGAGATTATTTAAGTGGGAAATTCAATGGGCGAATCGAGAGATCGTTAAACAACTTGCTATCAATGCAAAGAATAATACCAAGGTTAATAATAAAAATAACAATTACAGAAAAATGACACGAGTAGACATTCGATTGGGTCCGTAAAGGACGACGCGGGCAGGGGGGAGATGGGGGGGGGGGGGGGACAATGAAGGCCTGGCTGGGATATATAATGAGTTTATTTTCTTTTTAACCCCTTTAGACGGGAATGAAGGATTTTTAAGGTGTACTGCGTCCGTATCTCCTGAGCGTGACACCCGGAATGGCAAGTGTGTCTAGGCACACCACATAAAAGCAGATGGGTTGTCTGCAGGCGGAGCAAGAAACCCCGCCCCAACCTAAACATGATCCTACGCCTCAAAATTTTCCCTCTGAAGCAGAACCCTCTCAGCCACCGAACAGCGTCATTGAACGAGTTGCTTCTGTGTTCACGAGCGAATCCACTGACGTACCGACTACATCGAGGGTATCACCATCATCGGGAAAGAGATCATGAGTACGAGAGGGAACCTGAAAGCAAGAAAGGCAACAGGCCCCCAAAGCGATTCCAGCTGGTGTCATCAATGAACTCGATTGGGAAGTACCATTACGTAAAATTAAGAATCGTATTCGAGAATAGCATTTTGGGCGAAGCTCCTAGGAATCGGAAACGAGCGAACGTCTACAGATATTTGAGAAGGCACCCAAGTAGCACAAAAAAAGTTCAAGAAAACTTTCAACCAGCGCTTGAAAGGGGTTTGTAAGGGTTTGAAAAACTCCTGGATGAGCAGCTTTAGAGTGCTCAAATAAGGAGCTATTATTCTTATTCACAAATATCGTATTCTTACTGAAGTTTTTGAAGGATATTACTTGAAAGTAAATTTTATTCTTATTATCCAAGATGTGCTACTTGAATGGGGCAATCCATCTGGCAGTTGCTGGAACAAACATGGTTCCAATAACAGACTCGAGATGACGCCTGCATTGCTGATGTTGCCAGTCGTTACTTAATACAATTGGAATTA